GGAATGGCACTAAGGGCAGGCATGTTTTGAAGCTAAATGATAACACTCTTTGGTCTGAGGTGCATGCAGCTCTAACTCTATGAGGTCCTAGGTTCCATACTCATCACAGCTAAAAAATTCTATCTTTAGCACTGCAAAAAGTTATCACTGCAGATTTCCAGGAACTTAGTTGTCCCTGTTCTTTAGGTTCAACCTAATTATAAGCAAACTGGTTATTTGAATACCTGCATAGCAGTCTTGTTTAAGAAGAAAAGAGGAACTCTTTACAATTATCGTAAATGCTGGTGAGGTTATACAGCATTGTGAATATATTAGAATCCACTGAACTGTATACTTAAAATGATGAATTTTATGTTTTATGAATTTATAAGCCAATATGAATCTGGATTCTTAAAAAAGAATTAAAAACTAATGAGAAGGCTCAGTGGGGAAAAGCGTTCGATGTCAAGCTTGATGACTTGAGTTTGATGTGATGGTGCCATGTGAAGGCTCATTTGTGCACACGTGCAGGCACACGGATGCACACACGTATACACACTGCGATGAGACTTTTCTTTCGGTTCTTCGAGACAGGCTTTCTCTGTAGCTTTGGAGCCTATCCTGGATCTCACTCTGTAGACCAGGCTGGCCTCGAACTCACAGAGATCCGCCTGGCCGCCTGGCCGCCGCCTTGCAAGATGTTTTTAAATGAATTAAAAACATTAAAAGAATACCAGTTTAGATAGTATTTCCATATGCCTTGCCTTTGTTTGGGATGTGCAGAATTCAGACATCCCATTCATTCCTTCACATAATTCAAATTTCCTAGCCTCTAGTGAGTGCTGTGTTACAGGTACAGACAAGAGTATGGGGAGCTCCCACTGAGATTTTCAGCTTTTTTCCTAGAACAACTTTTGGACCAGAGTCCCGGGATTTGTAATAGCAATAGTTCACTCAGAGAGGGAGAAGGTGTGCCCAGGGGTGTGCCAGGGGCGGGCCTGAGCTGGGGATCTGTCCTCATGCGGTAGTGCACCTTCCTAATGAGCTGTGGTGGTTTCCAAACAGGGTCTCTCTATAGCCCTGACTCTCCTGGAACTTGCTATGTCGACTCACAAACTCACAAAGACCCTCCTGGCTTTGCCTCTTGGGTACTGGGATTAAAGGGGCACCACCATGCCTGGCCCTAGTGAGTCTTAATCTCTTACAGCATAAATTTCAGAGTCAGGCTGTCAATTTCTGTAAGAAAAAGCCTGGCGGGATTGTCTGTTTGAAATTACATTATAATAATAGCTTCATTGGGGGAATAATTAACATGTTTATTTTACTTATTTTCGAGACAGGATTTCTCGGTATAGCCCTGGCTGTTCTAGAACTTGCTTTGTACATCAAGCTGGCCTTGAACTTAGAGATCCACTTGTCTCTGTCTTCTGAATGCTGGTATTAAAAGTGTGCTCCATCACGGCCCACCATGCCAGGCTGGGAAATAATTAACTTTTTTTTTTTTTAAGATTTATTTATTTATTATGTGTATTCTACCTGCATGTGTCCCTGCAGGCCAGAAGAGGGCACCAGATCTCATTACAAGTGGTTGCTGGGAATTGAACTCAGGACCTCTGCAAGAGCAGTTGGTGCTCTTAACCACTGAGCCATCTCTCCAGCCCATAATTAACATTTTTATTTATTTATTTATTTATTTTTTTGTGGGTAGAAAAAGACGTTTATTGGGGAATCAAAACTGGCAGGGCTGTGTGTGTGTGTGTGTGTGTGTGTGTGTGTGTGTGTGTGTGTGTGGTGGGGCAGAAAGAACAGCCTAACATTTTTAAACAACCTTCAGTGTTCAGCCTATGAACATACTATCTAGCCCTTCATTTAGTTAAACAGCTTTAATTTGCTCAATAATACTGCAGTTTTGTATAGCATATGTATGCTGTACAATATGGGCTTCTTACATATCAGACTTGACTTTTTAATAATTAAATAGGATGGACTGTATGGTTTTTTTTGTTTGTTTTTGAATCTTTTTTTAAAATTTATTTTTATTTTATGTGCATTGGTGTTTTACCTGCATGTATGTCTGTGTGAAGGTGTCAGATCCCCTGGAACTGGAGATACAGACAGTTGTGAGCTGCCATGTGGGTGCTGGGAATTGAACTGAGGACCTCTGGAAGAGCAGCCAGTGCCCTTAACTACTAAACTATCTTCTCCAGCCCCTTGCTTAGTTTCCATGTCCTATACTGATCACAGCAGCTAGTAAAGGTCTTTATCTCCTCTCTTTCTGAACTGAACCAACAACTTCATGTTCTGAGTGTGCTCCCCGTCTCCTCACTTCTCCTGCCTTCTCTTTCTCACTTAATACTTCTCTTCTGGGTACCTCCAGCAGTTTAGACCCAAAGGAACCTTCTAAAGGTGAGACTCATCCTCAGAAGCTTGGAGGCTTAGACGTACCTCCCCCTTTTATCATCATTATTGTTGTGTTTATTTTTGAGAGAGAAATTCTCACGATGCCTCCCAGATCACATGACTTCTTTAGCCTCTTGAGTCAGAGGTCTTAGGTGTGCCATGATAACCTCCTTTCCCTTCCAAGCCTATAGGTATAGGCCCTTCCCTTCCCCGTATAGTATTGTGTACTGTTATAATATATAATTGTGTAGTGTATATTAATATATCATGCTAGAATACATTATATAAATACTATGTAAATATATTGTATACTTATTTATATACCATTGTAATTTTTAAAAATTTTGTGTGGATGCACATATAAGCCTCATGTGTGCAGGCATGCACATGCCACAGCTCGAATGTGGGACTCAAGAACCAAGAAAGGTTCTCTCCTTTAGTTAGCAGGCCTGCGCACTAACGGCTCTGTCCACAGTGCCGTCTCACCGCCCTCCTAATGTAACGTCAGATTTCTGGTCTTTGTGGAGACAGGGTCTCACTATGGAACCCTGGCCGGCCTATTCACTCTGTAGACCAGGCTGTTCTCACATTCATAGAGCCCACCTCTGCCTCCTGAGTGCTGGGATTAAAGGGGTGTGTGCCACCACGCCTGGCTTTATACTTAGTCTCAAAGCTGCCTTGGCTGTCATTCCCATTTTATTTATGAAGCAATTGAAGTCTGAAGGGTAGGCAAGGCATCCATTTTCCAAGAGATTGATTTTCCAAGAAATTTTGTTTTGAAGACTGCACATTTCTCCTCTGCTTATTCCAAATTCACAGGTATCTCCCTGTGGAGGCCGGGGCTTCAAGGGCTGAGCTAGAAGTGGGTGGTAGAATGTCAAGTCATGTGATTTGTTCATATGTATGTCTGGTTTTCCTTTTTGGTGGGGCTGATTGAGGAGTCCCTGGTCTAATGGATCCGTGGTGTGCAAACTTTTGTTTGTTAGAAGAAAATGATTGTAGTCCAGATGACTGTGAACTGTAGTCATCATAAAGTGGTGTCAGTTCATTCGCTTGTATATTCTAGTCAGACTTTCTGCTGCATTTGAGTTTTGGCTAGCTTTTTTTGTGACATGTCCCTGGATCTCTGCAACATTGCAACCGATTGGTTCTCTTCCTGCCTTTCTT